AAAAAAAAGGACTTTAACACAGAAGCTTGGAGGGGATGTTTAGGACAGTTTTTTTTCCCATGTCTTCTAGGTTGTAAACTGAGACGGGAATCTTCTGAATTCGCTGATCCCTTGATATAACTTAGTAGTTTTTATTTTCAAAGCTTATGGGCAGTTTGTGGTTTAAAAAAAAAAAAAGCTTTCATGAGATGTGTCATGTTTTTAGTCACCAAAACTGGAGTTCAGTTTTACACACTGTCTGTGCTCAAAAACACCTGGCAAGCCTAGTTCTCCGCTGGCTTGTGAAATTCTGTTTCTCCAGTCTAAATTTTCTGTGTACCCACTTTTTCCTGGAGACCTACAAGGAAGGCACTCTTTCCTGTATGCTACTCCAAACAGATCCCTGGCATACTGTTTGATGGTCAGTGACACTTTTTAGGGAGTTCCTTCAGAACTTAGCAAAGCCTGTGTTCTGACAGCGGTAAGAATTGTATAGCTCAGCTTTGATGCAAAATGTTCTGTGGAAAGCAAAATGATTTCGCTTATTAAAATGTTGGTCTTTTACTATAGCTGGATTCAGACCTGGATACAGGCATGGATGAACTGGGCAGCTGCCCTGGGCCTGGACAGAAAAGGAGTCTGAAAATGGAAAAAAAAAATTACAGTTGCAAAAAAGAGTATTAATATTGTGCATACATGGGACTGGCAATGTTATAAATTGAAAATGAATTATTTAAAGAGATCAATACCGCAGATGTGATAAAGACTTCTGCAACAAAAAATGCCTCAGAGTGGAGTTTATATAAACATTTTATTATAAAAACATGATTTGAACATTAGACTTTCTATTTTTTACATTACATCTTCTATTTATCGTCTATTAAATGATAAAAATTATATTTTTCCACTGTCCTATTATTATTATTATTATTATTATGGGCCCAATACTAAAAGTTGGCCCAGGGCCACCAGGAGTCTAAGTATGGTACTGGCTAGATTTGTACATATTTTTAAAAGACTCAATTCTATTTCTCCCCTTTCAGATTTTCTCCAAGTTTGGAACTGTCCTGAAGATTATCACCTTCACAAAGAACAATCAGTTTCAGGCCTTGCTTCAGTATGCTGATCCAATGAATGCACATTATGCCAAAATGGTAGGTATAAACTGGGTGCATCTGATTCATTTAGTCATTGTGAAATAAATAGAGAACCGTTATTTATTTGTATGTAAAATGCTTTGCTGTGGACTGTAGTCTTCAGCACTAATGATATTTGTTACTCTGTTGTTTTCTTGCTGCATAACATAGTTTTAGTATTTGTGATCAAGTTAGAGGGCGGCACACAGTACAGCTTAGTAATTTTTGTGACTGATCATGTCGTATTAAACTGGATGAATTCTACCTGTCTACCAGGTCTCTGATAGAGGCTAATACTAGTTAAAGGAAATGGAACTGAATGATAGAGGTTTAATAAAATGAACTTGACACTTACTGTCTATCAAGTTTTAAAGCAAAGAATTTCAGTTTGAACATCTAGACTGGAAAATCTTGCAGCTAAATCCCTTGAGTCTTTAACCTGATGAATGTAGTTTTCATCTGCTTGATTTTTCACATGGGAAATTGATTAATAAGCAATTACCTTTCAGTTTAAACATTGCACTTTCAAGTTTGCAGTTGATATTAATTCTAACTTGTGAACATGTATGTGCATTTTAAAGCTTCCATTTATATGAAGAATACCTGCATGGAACACTTTTCAAAAGCTTTAAAATCCAGTGTCCTTATAATTACAAGTTGGTATTGGTTTTCTTCTGCCCCAAAATGTTTCTGTTGCAATGTAACGTTTTATTAATTAATTTTAAAATGTTTTGCACGGTCAGAGCTGTAAATCTGTCATCTAATAACGTAGGCATCAGAATGTCAGTTTGTTGGCAGCAGACATAACCAGTATATAAACTACATGTAAATTAAGTACAAGATTTTTCTTGTTTCTATTATCTTTGGAAACTCCACATACAATTCCTACGTTTAGTTTGGATTAAAACATCAGAACATACTCAATTGCCATTCCTTATAGTACCTCTTTAGACTATGGTATCTGCTGAGTCCCAAAAGCATCAAACTTTTTTATTATCTGTAATATTTTCTGGTATTTCAGTGCATAGAAAGAGAAGAAATAGCAGGGTAAGTACACAGTTTAGTGTTCAAGTAAGAAAGCATGTTGGTTTTGCTGAAAAGAAAAGGTAGAATCAATGAACAATGGAAAAAATGTTGGACCTGCTTAATGTATTTTTTTTTACAAATGAAGTAGGCAAATATAGAAGTAGAGAAAATGGAGCCATTGCCTGAAATCACAGTTTGGGGGGCAAGCTTTTAAAAATCTAAAAGGAAAGACAACCTGAGATGGATTCTGCTTCAGTTTGCCTTTATAAAATTAGTATGATTCCCTACCCTTCATATTGTGAAACATAATTTGTTTGCCCTATGTGTTGACTTGGAATTGCCTAGATACAGTATTTGTAGACAAAGACGCATGGTAAACTAAGGAGTAGGCAAACACTACTGAATCAAAGTGTTTTGTAAGAAAATATACCACTACTAACTAGCAAGCTGTTAGGGGTATTTCTATGCTGCTTGCACAGCCACTTGATCTCTAATATGCACGGTGGTTTTGACTATTAGAGTGTTGCGTTAAAAGCAAAATGTGTAAATGAAGCAATACAGAGGTTCAGAGTAAGATGTCCTGTGACTTTTGTTTTGATAGAGTTAGTTAATCTTGGGGAGGAATAGGATATAGGATGAGGGAGTTGACCTGGATGTGGCTGACTTGTTGCAGTAGGCTAAATACTACTGAAAAAGTAGGTGCTCTATCTGGCATGCAGTCCATTTTAAATGTTTTAATAAAAAGGAGGGTAAAATTTCCTTTTTAAGTAAAATAACCTCTTTGTAAATTGGCCTCTTGGTCATGGTGCATTTTGGATTGTGATTTTGATGCCATGATCATGACTTAATATGCTGTATTTTCCTTTAACTTAAAAATATTTTGGTGCATGCTGTACCAAAAATACCTACCTGTCTTAGGTTAGAGCAGACTTAAAAACCTCAGTAAGTTCAGTATTCTTGTTTACACTCTTTGCTGATGATTTTAGATTCTCACATGCAAAATTATCTCAGTGCCTCTCCTAAGCCTGTCTGCAAGATCAGTGGAGCCAAAGCTTGTTGAATTATTTTGGACAGGGAGTTCTCTACCATTGTAAATTGAACATGTAGCCTGAGACCAATTCAGGTATTGTCATCCATTGTATATACAACAGTCATAGGGTTATTTCATGTTCTGGCCTGATATCCATTTTATGAGGATCAAGCTGCTGTCTTTACAAAGATTTATGAAACTTTGGGAGTGATGGTGTTCCTTCAATACAAAGTGTGAAAAGTGCATTTTTTGAGTGTAGGTGGGAGATGGTTATGAAGTGACACCTTTCATTAAAGATACCTAAGGAAGTTCAGTTCATTATTCCTATTTACATGCTACAGAACTAAATTATAGGTAATCGACCCACAGTAGGTAGCCTCTGGGTGATTTTTTTCTATGCTTTTGGTAATAACAGCATGTCTGGGCAGAAAGCGCTTCAGTGATGTTGAAAGAGCAAGACAAATTCATAAGATAAACATGGCTAATTGACCCATTTCTGCTGGAGTGTGGGCAGTTTAATAAACGTGTAAATATAATTTAACGCTCTTGATCCAACATGCACAAATTCGTGTAGTTGGCTACTTCTATATATAATATATATAAAACTGATGTCACCTAATAGCACATACTGGGTGTGGGGCCAGTAAGACAAAAAGCATGAGCCTCTCTAGCATGAGCCCGGCACTATAAGTTGCATAGACAAGTACACGTAACACACATGTAGTGACCTTGTTTTATGCTGATATACTAGAGCAGTAGTTTTCAACCTTTTTAGATTCAAGGAGTCCTATGTTGGACACAGGACAGCCTTTAGAAAATGCCCGCTCTTAGTTTTCACCTATTGTTCGGCAACAGAAAATAATAAATTAATTCTTCTGTTGCAAAGCACTCAGGCCACAACAGGTCAGATTTTTTTTACAACGTGGATTGCTGTTTTAAATATCTAGGTTTATTTTGTGAATCATGTTTTCATACCTAACAGTGCTTGTATTGCATGACACCCTGCAGCACCCATGAAAGGATCTCAAGGCACCACAATGTGCCTGGTTAAGAATCACTGTATTAGAGGGGAAGATGTTTGGGTAATCCAAGGGTTGTGCAGTTGTCAGGCTAGGATGTGCAAACTACTGTGGTTTTATATTTGAATCAAGCTGTAAATATTTGGTATGACTACCAAAAAAAGTCCTTTTATAAAACTATCACCTGTTTTTTCTGTAGGCTCTGGATGGCCAGAATATCTACAATGCATGCTGCACTCTCCGTATTGATTTCTCCAAGTTAACAAGCCTTAATGTAAAATACAACAATGACAAAAGTAGAGATTTCACTCGCCTTGACCTTCCATCTGGTGATGGCCAGCCCTCCCTTGATCCCACCATGGCTGCCACTTTTGGTAAGGAAGTCTTCCTTTTAGGTAAATAGAAAGAAGAATTGGTTGCTCAGTGTTGTAATGTCCTTTAGGAGTTTCCAACCTGCTTTTTCCAACAGTTTCTAAAGAAACATTCTTGGAAAATATTAAGCATTTCCCCTACCTGGGTAGCCAACTTTCCCCAAAAGTAAACATAGATGACAATATTCAGCATCAAATAAAATCTGCTGGTGCTGTTCTTGGATGTCTCCAAAATGATGTCTTCAGTGTTCGTGACATCAGAACCCAAACCAAACTTCTCATCTACCAGGCTGTTGTCACCTCTGCCCTCTTATATGGGTGTGAAACTTGGATGACATACTGGAAATGCCTGAAAGCTTTGGAACATCAGCCATGTATTCAGGAAAAATCCTCCTTATCGATTGGAAGGACAGAAGAACAAATGCCAGCATTCTGGCTCAGGCAAAAGGATCACCAGCATTAAAGCCGTGTTTATACAGGACCAGCTTTGTTTTACCGGACAAGTCCCAAGGATGCCTGACAATCAGCTCCCAAAGCATACTCAACACACCAAAAGTCACTGCTCTAGAGGTGGGCAAAAGAAGAGATTCAGGAACACCTTGAAGGCAAATCTGAAGAAATGAAATATTCACATCAGTATCTGGGAGACTCGAGCACTGAATTGTTCTCAGTGGCACCATAATATATGACAAGGCATCAGCCATTTCAAGCATACTGTCACTATGGAGGCGAATAGGCAAAACAGACAGAGAATGAGCTGTGACCTGACATCATCAGACTTACTTCTTAGTCCCGAAACTGTTTGCCATGTTTGCAGTCAGAGTTTCATAGTAGTGTCATAGTAGCTAGGGTCAGGAGGGACCTGAACAGATCATCTAGCCTGACTCTCTGCCACAGGCAGGAATGAATGCTGGGTTCACAAGACCCCAAACAGGTGATCATCCAACCTCCTCTTGAATTTGCCCAAGGTAGGGGTGAGGACCACTTCCCTGGGAAGTTGGTTCCAGATTTTGGCCACCCTAACTGTAAAATTCTGATCTCTAACCTAAACCTATTCTCCATCAGCTTATTACCATTGTTCCTCATCACCCCAGTCAAACACATGGATTTCGTATTGGCCTCCTTAGTCATCTGTGTATTCACCAGCGACTTCCCTGTTTACTGGAAGGCTGTCATTATATTAAGGGACTGTTGACACCTAAAGGAAAGTGACAGTAGTAAATTAATCCACATTATCAGATGCCAATAAATTTTGTCGGTGGCAACAATCCCTCACAGTCGAGAATGATCACTCCAGAGCTGGCGCATGTGAAGGCATTCCAGGCTTTTCAGGTGGTCCCTGTAGATTACCCAAGCTTACCAGCCATAGAGAAGAATTACAGTTACCACAACCTTATATAAAAAAACAAAAAACAATAGGAGCTTTGGTCAAGTCCTGATGTTATGAACATTGAGTATGCAATGATACAATCCCAAAGGCGGAGCTAGCACATCAGGTCCTATGCTGGATCTCCTTGTGGATGTTGGCCTTCTTTGAGAGATGGTTGCCACGGTATGCAAAGCGTTCAACTTTCTCCAGCTCCTGTCTGTAAGTGAGGATCTTTGCCGGGGGGAGTTAATTGACCCAGCGCAGGATGGTGAAGCACCTTTGTTTTTCTGATGCTAAGGGTCAGTCTCAGGCACTGGTATGCTCGAGTGAAGCAGTTATGGGCTGTTTGTAAGTTCTCATCCATATGTGCAACAGTGAAACAATCATTGACATACTGAAGTTCCACAATCAAGGCCACTGTAACTTTGGTTTGGGTATGGAAGCGCGAAAGGTTGAAAAGGTTCCTGTTAGGGGATATACTGTTAAAGTTTTTGGGCACTGATACTGATGGCCAATATTTAAGGAGGTATATTGACTGATTCCGATCCTATTTCTGGTACAGCGGCCTCCAGCTGGTAAGTTTGTTGTGGTGGAAGGAGACCAGGGAGGGAAGGGGAATTTGGGGAGGGGGGTACAGATCAATGCCCTCGCAGTGAGGGAAGGGACAGGGGCAGGTGCTACCTTGGCAAGGGCAGGGCTGGCTCATGGTGGTGGGGGAGGTGACTTCCACCGCTGCTTGCATCCCAGGTGGGCATGGAGGGGGCAGGGTTTGTGCCCCTGGATCTATGCAGGGTAGGCTGTGCAGGGCTCTTTTTAGTGGGGGCTGGGTTCAGAGTGGGCACCGGCAGAACTGGGGGGATGCTGTAGCCATCCCAGATTTTGCTGCAGCTCTGCTTCCAGCACCGCCGCCGTCTAGTGCCACCACAGCTTTGCCTGGCTCATGGGTAGATGCAGGGTGTTGAGCCGGGGCTGTGCTGCATGGCTAGCGGTGTCCTGTGCAGATCTGGGGGCCACACACCACTCCCTCGCACACTCCTGGGTACAAGTTCTGGTGAGAGCTGCCCACAATGAGTCGCAGCTTTGTGCTGTGCCATGCCCACCCCACCCCTTCCCCCAGCTGGACAGTGCCTGCTCCTGCCCTGTCTCACCATGGGGGTGTTGATCTGCCCCACCACACTCCTTTTCTCCCCCCCTTTCCCTTCTACCACACCAGACTTGGTAGCTGGAGGCAGTGCTCCACACTGCTGCCTGTGTTCCTTATTGCCTGAGTGCCACGCTCTAGGCAGCACAGGCATTTATCAGCAAAATTATTGGCCCCATTGGGCCGATTATCCAATGCAGCCAATATTCTTTATTGGCTTGTGTGCAGCCTGTAGAGCGGCACTGCTGCCCTTGCTCCCCCCTCTCCTCCCCCCTTGGCACAGATGTGTCCCCCCTCCATTCTTGACAACCATCTCTTTATGCCCCTGCACACCCGGGTGGGGTCCTGGGGCCAAGTGCTGCCCCTACCTAGCCCCTCACACCAGAATTAGGCCCTGTGGCCTGGTGCTGTACCTGCTTGGCCCTGCATACTGGGATTAGGTGCTGGATCTACCATGCAGGGCCTGGGACTCCCTACTGCCAAATTTCCAGACCTGTGGGGAGTCCCAGAGACCAGATGATAGGGTGCCACAGAATAGGTCTGGCCCATGGGCTGAAGGTTGAGCACCCCTGCTTTAGTTCATTATTGTCTCTGCACTAATAGTAGCAATGCTATACGGGAAGATGTAACTATCCCACTTTAGGTAGAGATAATCTTTCCTCGCATGAGACTTCATTCTCATAACAGATAGAGATTGTTTTTAATGGCTGCTTCTGGCACAGTCTAACTCTCTCGCAGCTGCTAAGTAAATGCGTAGCAGCTTTTAGTTGTGTAGCAAAAAGGTTCTTCCAGTTCCTTTGGCTGTGAGGGGGTTAACACTCTACTCTGCTGTGCCCTTTGAGTATGCCTCTGCTTCTATTCGAGCAAAGAAAAATCAGCTTCCCCTCTTAAGACATGTACCCCAATTCTGAATGGCTTATTTTGGGGGAGGGAGGGAACATCTGTATGGTACACGAATAAATACAATGCTGATTTGAAGTAAATACATGAGTTAAGGTTAACTAGTAAAAACTGCTGTCACAGGGCTGCTTAAGAACTGCTGAGCAACAGCAGCTCCTCTAGCAGAGGAGACTATCTCCCAGTATAATGACTGTAATGCAAGTGTATAGTGCAGTAGCAGGGCATGAGGCCCAGATGCTGCCTAATCTGGAGAGTGCTAGAATGGAGCTGGGGCAACTTACCCTGCCATCCATCCGCCGCCCTGTCATTTTTTACATGCCAAGATTAAAAGAATAAATAAGTTATGAAGGGTGAAAGGGAGATGGCATCTCCCCCTGCAGAAGAAATCTCTGTCCCTTGTGCTGTTGCAACCTTTTAAATAACTGTTAGTGGGTATTTAAACCAAGAAGTTACCTGATTAACTGGAGAAGGTACAGTACTCGCAATGCAATTCTCTGATATATTTTGACAGTTAATTCTTGCTTATGCCAGCCTTGGCCACAATTGGCAAGTGATATTTTTAAACTCTCAGTTGTTGGAAGGCGAGCATTAATTTCTGGATGTATCCCTCCTGTTAAAAAATAAGACACTTTCATACTGCAGTCCAGTAGGCCAAAATGTTACATCTTCCTTTAGCACAAGATAGCTTTCTGATGTAGCCCATATCAGTGACATATTGCAGACTAGTTGTGGTGGTTTTGTTCAGAGGTATAAATGTAATGAGATGAACTGGACTCTGGTTATTGTGCTGCTTATGTTTTTAAAAGGATTGTATCAGGGAATTTCATTTTTTAAAGATGTTTTTGCTCAAAGTCATCAGTACAGTATCAAAAATACTGTAGTCTGTCAGAGCTCAATGTTGTGACAAGCATAAACATATAGATGAATAAGGTTTAACTAATTTATCTGTAATAGCAGTGAAAGAGGGAAGGAAGAAGATGTTTTAGTAGATCTGTTAACAGGTTTTAGAAATTTTATTTTGTCTCGCACAACGCATTGTCAAATGAGAGATGTACCCTGTTTTTGAAAGCAGAATAAAGAAGGAAAGAACTTTCCTTGAAAATACTAGTGTGATATTTTCCCAGGGAAAATGCAGGCAGTTGCACTAAGGGTGGATCAAAACACTGTGATTGCTCTAACCCTTTTACCTGTTAGACCAGGGGTGGGCAAAATACAGCCCACAGGCCACATCTAGCATGCCAAGGGGGTTGGGTGGTATGGTGGATGGACTAATTTCCTGGCAGCCCTGGCTGGCAGCAGTGATTCCTTCTGGTTGCCTCTGCTGCTGGACCCAGCATCCCAGCTCATCTGTCCCTCCCCTGCTGCTGGGGGTGGGAACCCATGCAGGCAGGGCACATGGATGAACAGATGGGATGGGGCCATGGGTGGGTGGGGAGTGGTGTTCAGGAGCAGGACAAGTAGGCCTGGGGCCAGGGCTGGGATTGTAGAGCAGTGACAGTGCGGGGCCAGGGCCCAGGGGAGAGTTGTAATCCATTGCCTGCCCATCCCTGCAAAGGGCGCTGGTTCTGTGGGCAGGGACATGCTGGGAGCGGATCGCAGCTCTGGACCTGGCCTTGGCCTCAAACCTGCATTGTCACTGCCTCAAGATCATGGACCCGGCCATGTTCCATGCCTGAATTGGTCCTAGCCAGTCTCTACATATAGAGACCGTGGGATTGCAGGGCGGTGACAGCACAGGGCTGGGGCCTGGAGCAGAGCATGCCCCTGTCCATGGAACCGGTGCCTGTTGCAGGGGCATGCACGCAGTAGGTCATGGCTCAGCCCTGGCCCATGCTGTCATGGCCCTGCCTGCCCATTCCACTCCTGGATGCTGCTTCTTGCCCACCCACAGCCTCATCCCAGCCCACTACAGAGCAGAGGCACTTACAGAGTTTTGGTGAGCTGTTAGAGGGGTGAGGGAATAGGGGTGCTGACCTGGCCCATGACAGCTCATGAAAATTCTTTAAGTGGTCTTCCAGCCCAAATAATTGCCCACCCCTTTGTTAGACACTGCTGGTGCTTCTGGCTGAGGCACCATACCTCCTTGTTGAAAATGCACATCCTCAATTCCAGCAGCTGATTTTTGGGGAAAAAGGTGTCTTATTTGTGAGAGAATACAGTACTTGTATTCTCTCAGCACAGACACCTAGGGTGAAAAGAGTGGTGGAAACAGGGAAGGTGGTGTAAGAGATCAGTTATTCCTGTTTTCAGAAAAGAGGTGTCACTCCAGCCTGTGGGTCAAATGCAGCCCTGCAGAGCCTTGGAATCTGGTGTGCAGGGCTCCCAGAGGGTCAGGAAATTTGGCAGCAGAGTATATACTGCCACCCACTGCCAGAACCCCAAGCCCTGTGAAGTGGGTTGGAGCAGGACCATGTCCCCACTCCCCCTGCACAACCAGGTTAGAAGCCTAGCCATGCCCCTGTGCAGCTGGGTTGGGCCTGGGCCATGCCCTCACCCCTTGCACGGCTGGTTTGGGGCTGGGCCACCCCCACCAGGGCTGGGTCACTCCTTCCCCTGCACAGCTGGAGTGGGTCTGAGCTGCCCCTGCCCCTCTCCATGCAGCTGGGTGGGTCCCTTCTGCACCTTGGCCTGAGTGCCATGTCGGGTTCACTGGGCAGATTTGGCCTGCAGAGGGACCAGGCACTGGTTGTTCAGCCTGCTGAACAACAAGGTTGAACACCACTGCTCTAGCCTGAGAAGAGCTTCAGGTTTGCAGCTTCCATAACTGTTACCCCTGGTGGAAAAACTGGTACAGACAAGTTATATTTGCATTATCCTATAACAAACCTCAATGTTAAAGTGGTCCAGGATTATGTGACATGGTGGTAAAGGTGCTGGAGTCCTCTCTGTACTTTAGCTTCCATTCTTGCTACTGCCATCGGAAGCTGCAGTGGTGGGCAATTCATGTATGACAAATAAGAGAACTGTTTGTATTTACGTTTAGAGATTTTAGTCCTCATTTTGGATTTTGCATAGGTCTGAAAAGCCCCAAAACAGATGCCCTGCTTTGAGATCGTAGGCACACACAGTTTTAAAATACTATGTTATAAGTCTAAACCATTTTTAAATAACTCCTGTGTTCAGAACCTCCAATAGATTTCAGAATAAATTTGTTGTGAAAAGACTTCCCTTCCCCCCTTTCCTCCCTTCCCCTCCCCCAATTAATAACTTATTTTTGGACAGCTTAGTTTAACATCTAGTCATTGACTAGAAAACAACATAATGTGTTAATATTCCAAATCTTTCTATTTTAGTTCTATTTAACTGTTATTGCATGTCTATATTTGGTATCTGTGTCCAACATGCAGGTCTCATCTGACAGAATAAAAGCCCATTGTCATTGTTGCTTCAGTAATGAATGATAATGAAGACTATGTCTGAATAAATGATTAATATCTATAATGCTAAAACTTGTCAGTATAATGCACCAGTGTATGTATTACAAGAATAAAATGCTTAGTGTTAGTGTGATTAATGCTGTGCATTGTTTATGTAAAGGACACTTTGTGACTGCAAATAAAAGGTGTCATGTGCTGCAGAATTCATTAGCATCAGACCTAAGATGTCTGTATGTTTCAGTTAATGTGGTAATTCATCACTGGTAATTCCTAGTTTCACATTATGTCCATCAATATCTGTGTTAGTTGAGGAGATGTAGCTACTTTGGTTTATTATTTTTGTGTTCAGGACTTGAGTATTAAAATGAACATACCATGATGCTCACATAATTTATTTACACATTAAATAGAGAGTGCCGTACTCAAAAGTAGTAACTAAAATGCAGCTGAAAGAGGAAATTGAAGAATGTGAAAATCTAAAATTTCAGTTGGAAACAGGAACATTGTTTCAATTCCAACCCATTTTGCTCAGGATAGCAGCATAACTTATACTAGAAATTTAAAATGAGAACGTGTTTGTTTAACCCTCCCAATTTGGGGGGAAGAACCTTAAAAACATTAATAAAACATTGTTTTGGGCTGCGTTGACTTATTTGAACTGCCCCGCTCATCTTAATGGCTTGCAAATTTTGGAACCTGTCAGTCTAAAATGTCTGATTATTTTAGAAAAAATACCCAGCAAATATACAATTTATATGCTGTCCTTCTAAACAGATGCTTTGACTTACTTATCCCATTGTTACAAATAGCTTCCAACCATCCATACCTCTTGTTTTTTCTCTGATAATTTCTAGAAGGCAGTTACATTTTACAAATAAATGGCATATTGCAGGAGTGGTCATTCTGTGGTACGGGGCCACAAGTGTGTGGCACAAGTCAGTTCAGGGAGGATACAGGCATGGCAGTGGTAGATAGGGGAGGACACAGAAAGCAAAGCAGCAAATAGGGTAGGGAGCATAAGGAGGAAGAACTCAATGCAGCAGATAAGATGGAACACCAGACTGAATCTAATACCTGGCAACATTCTGGCCTGTTAATCTAAAATAATTTTAAACCTTGTGCACTTGAACCAAGTGACAGCCTCTCTCCTTGTAAACTATCAAATTAGCTGTACCCTAGTCTACTAAAGCCCCTGAGATGACTGTTACTCCACCTGGATTCTTGGTAGTGACATGCCTCCTGTGCATGGGGGTGCAGTGAGGGCAGCAGTGCAGGGCTATGCCTCCCCAAAGCAGTGGCAGGCACTAGAGGTGTATTGCCAGGACAGTGGGGTGGGGGCAGCTTGCACTGGTGAGGAATTCCTGCACGGCCCTGCTGTCCCCAGCCACGCTGGCTTATGCCCGCCAGCTCCAGAGACCCTAGGGAAGGGAAGCAGGGCAGGAGCTCAATCCCGCAGCCTGCACCTTCCCTGGGTACAGATGTGGGGGCCATGGGTCCACCCTGCCCCCTGGGAGTGCATGCAGCAGCAGAGAACCAGTGTTCCCCCTCCCTTGGACAAGCCATCTGTGGTCCCATCCTGCTCTCTGCTGGGGCCCTGCAGCCATGCATTGCATCCCCGGGCCCCAAACCCCACCTGGCTGGGCAGCAGCCCCAGCCTGTGCCTGCCCCAGGTACAGATCAGGGGGGCACAGGTCCCCTGTGACCCTGGTAGCAGCGGGGATCTGCAGACCTAGGTTCGTAATCCCTGGCAGCTGGGGGCTCTGCTCTGGCAGGGTTGGAGGAGCAGGGGCTGTGTGTGGGGGCTGTGGATGGGGAGCAAGGGGCACCAGCAGGACCAAGGGAGCTGTGGGGACCCTTTAATTTTAATCATAGATTTTGGGGGTTTTAGCAGAGAATTTGTGCGGGGTTTATCAGGGAAAACTTGGATCCCTGGTGGTGACTTACCGCCACATTTCACTTAGTGCTGTTTCAGTGGATGCCAGTGCAAGATGCAGCATCTTGTCAGCAGCATAACTTTTACCAAAGCCTAATCTGGAGAGTTGTATCGGGGCTGATGCAAAGAAAAGTATCTGACATTTTAGACTTTAAAGATAACTTCTGAAACTGTTGGAATTTTTTAAATCCAAACCAGTGAATAGGGGTCTGGAGTAGGAAGCCTTTTAACTATATGCTCTTTGTTCCATTGAGCTAATATTGAACCTCTATATTTTAATGTTTAACATTCACATCTTCCAGTTCTGATTTCAGGCAAAGCAAAATGAGTTCTCAGAGAAGGTGTATTGACCTGCCTAAAAGATGCAAATAGCATCTTTGATTACTGAATCTGAATGCTATAAAACACGCACACAAATGTTTGGAAAGGGCATAATTTTGAAATGTCAGTGACACCCAATGTCTGCTTCAACTGACAGCCAAGTCATTGCATTTTGCTAAAGATGTTAGAATTTCTTCTAACTGGATATGTCTGCTATTTCTAGGTACCCCGGGTATCATCTCCTCACCATATGCAGGGGCTGCTGGATTTGCCCCAGCCATTGGTTTTCCTCAGGCTGCAGGTAAGTCCCCTTTTCTTTGTTAAATTTGAAGCTCACCTGCAGTTCTCTTGGAATACAGTAGTTTAACAAGATAATTCCTAAGAGGCATTCTGTTTACTTCTAGTAAGACTTAGTACTGCTGTTTAAAATACTACAATTCCATACTTTGTTTAAAACTTACAATACATTGTGTTCCTTGCCTCTGAATTATGAAGAATTATTTAAAAAGGGCTAGCTGAGAATTATCATAGGATCATAGTCGAATAGGTCTGGAAGGGACTTCATGAGGTCATCTCGTCCAGCTGCCTGCTCAAGACAGCATCGTCCCCAACTAAACCTTCCTGGCCAAGTGCCTGTCCAACCTGCTCTTGAAATTTCCAAGGATGGAGATTGCGCCATTTCTCCAGGAAACCTGTTCCAATGCTTGTCCAACCCCAGAATCGGAAAGTTCCTCCCCATCCCCAAGCTAAATTTCCTCTGCAGCAGTTGAGGCCATTGTTCCTAGTTGTGTCCCTACAGCCGCGGAGAAAAGCCTATCTCTATCTTCTCTATAATCACCCTTCAGTTATTTAAGGACTACCATCAACTGCCCCTTCAGTCTTCTTGTCTCCAGATTAAATAACCCTAGTTCTTTCAGCTCTTCCTCATGAGTCATACTTCCCATGCCTCTAATAATTTTTGTCACTTGCTGCTGGGCTCTTGCCAATCTGTCTACATCCTTCTTCAAGTGTGGGGGACACACTATTCTAGGTGAGGCCTTGCCAGTGCTGAATAGTGCAGAAGAATCCTTCTCCCTTGATTTGCACGTAATGCTGTTGTTGATGCAGTGCAGTCTGTTGCTAGCTAATGTTTCAGTTTATGGTCGTCTGCAGGCGTGGTTAGACTCCAGCCCATGGGCAAAATGTGGCCTGCAGAGCCATCTCATCTGGCCTGCAGGGATCTCTGTGGGTTGGGAAGTTTTGATGGCAGGCAAGCAGTAGCCATTTAATACAGCCACTGTTTCCCGCTGCCAAATTCCCAAACCCAAGCCCTGCATATGGCTCCTCTCCCCCAAGGGGCTAGGTTGGGGCACCCCCTCCCCAAATAATGGGGCCAGGCCATGCCCCCTTCTTCCCTCCGCCTGGGGAGCTGGGTCAAGCTTCTTTCCCCTGTGGAAAATTTGTTACGCATGCACTCAGACATGTGATGCAAATCAGTTGTGATTATATATAATGGAAAGAAGGGGTCATCACCAAGGAGGGCTATTCTGCAGTTGCTCAGGGATGTAGGGGAAGGCCAAGGCAGAGATGGAACTGGGACTAGCTTCCCAGATTAAGGACAATAAGAAGTCTTTTTTTAAATACATAGGGGTAAAAAGAAGGTCCCAGGTAATGTGGGGCCCTTGCAGGACGTGTTGGGGAAACTTGGTCGTCACACCAGATGACAAAGCTAACATGTTTAACGATTTCTTTGCCTCCGTCTTCCTAAGTAGGGACCAGAACAGCAACCTCCCAGCCGGGCCCCCTTCAGGCCCTGGGGGAGGCACACCTGGGCCAAGGGTTAGCGAGGACTTAGTAAGGGAGCTTCTGGAGGGGCTGGACGTATTCAAGTCA